CGGCGGTGCCCTCAACGGGACAGCTGCCCACCCTCCGGTTTCCCTTCCGTTCACGCCAGTTCTCCACGGAAGCGCCCGACACGGGGGCTGCACCTGGGCTAGCGATGCCCAAAAATCGCACCGCAAAGGGTCCTCCGGAGGCGTAGGAGGCCGGGGGGGAGCGGCCTGCGGCACGCTGGCTGGAGGTTCGCCCTCCGGCCTCATCCACCCCGGGGGGTCACTTTGTTGCTCTGGAGCGTAACTTAGGTATTTTTTTGTGTAGATTACCGCCCCCCTCGCCAGCTCCAAGCCCGTTGAAGGCTGTATGACAACCGGTCACAGACAGTGCTTTTATAACGTGGAAGTGAGGGTAAGTACCGTGGGTGCCAGGGTTCGGGAGGGGGGTGTCCTTGGCTGACCCCGGAGGGGTGGAGGGAGGGCAAACCCTGCTTCTGGGGCAGCGGCCCCTTGCGCTGGCTGTACCCTAAACTGCACCAGGGGTTCAGCTAAAAGTTAAGCGGAATGAGTGGGCAGGATTTTCAGACTAACCTCCTGGCTTTGTTTTATTCAGTAGGACAGACGCAGCACATGTTGCACATGTTGCGATGTTTAATTTGCTATAGCGTGGGTTTGTTGTTTGGTTTTGTTGTTGTTGTTTTTTTTTTTTGACAGGGTAGTAGTGTCCTGGTTTATTGAAAGTGCGGGAAGTACAAACTAAATGCAGACTGACACATTTTAAAATATCAGCGTTTGCTGGAGCATCCTGGTCGAATTCTAATACAGGTAAATATAGTTGTTCTGGTTCCTGGTAATTTGTGCTGAGAAATTATTCTAAACTTTCAGTCCATGTGATGATACAGACTAAATAAAGGATAAACTCTCTCTCGAGATAACAGTTCATGGGCCTTCGGTGCAATATAGGTGAAATATTTCAGACAGGGTATTTTATTACATGCTACGTAGGATGATCTGGCATCACAAATGTGGACATGGTGTAAACACAGAAATAGGATAGTCAAGAGGGAGTTACAGAGAGAAGTGTGGTCTGGTGGTGAATTTCTAGGAAATGCAAGTATGTGTATTGTCTTTTTTGACTGTTCCCACAGTTAAATTGTGAATGCAAAACATACCACACTTTCTAGAACTGTTAATTTGAACCTGGCAGTACTGCTTTTTAATGTTTTATTAAGGAAACGTTCATTCCTAGTCTTCATTACAGTACAAATTAGTAGAAAATGGGTGCACGTTTGAATGTACGTTTTGCCTGTCATGTTGTAATGGAAAAATGCTGCCCTTGGAAACCCACATCTTTGCATACAAATTGTGTAGTTCTGCTTATGTGCTTATTTACGAGCATGTTTGTACATAAAATAAATGCTCATGTAGATTGTCTGGATGCAGTGCTGATCTTGACGAAAAGTTGATCCCAGCTATGTCAGTTACAGGATGAATGAGTGGCAGCTATTCAGCTTTGTGAGAAAGAAAAAAGAAAAGTAAGAATAATCAGTAATCACTGACCCAAAAAAAGCAGTTTTTATGATAAAGCAATATAGAAAACCAGAGTTCTTTGTTAGAAATTCTTCTGTTACAGGCGCAGCCCTTTCCTTAAAGGATTTCTTTTGCAGAGAACTTCCCTCAGTCCTTTGGTGAAACTGTCTTCCCTGCTTTTTATAATGCCTTGTTAGAGCACGTGTAGATCTGGAATGGAACGGAAGATTTTTGAGCCTTTCCTGTTCTCAAGTGATATCCATAAAACCTAATGGCAATAAGTATGTCCCAACCCTTTCCTACCCTTCTCCATAGAGAAAAGGGTAATCTGCTGGGGTTATTGGTTTCTATTTCAGGTGAAGCGGCAGGGTGGTGTAAAGTGTTTCAGCTCTGGAGCTGACCATGATTTTGATTTAAGATTTTTATTTTATCAAGCAGGTATTTTTCTTTGTTTGTTTTTAATAGCTTCCTTGTTAAACCCTCATGAATTATTGGTGGTTGCCTGTGCAATTTGACATGTACTCGTTATACTCTGGCCTCTAGTTCAAACAATATTGCTTTCCATTGGACTCCATTCTGTGGATGAGTTGTTTTTCTGAAAAGGTCATTATCTGTAGGATCATTTTCTCATTTGTTGAAGAAACTGGAAAAAAGTGTAGTGACTAATGCTAGAAACTGGAATAAAAAAAAAAAGACAAACTTCGTATGCAGACGGTTGAATGCTACCCTGATGAACCAGGGGTGTTTCTTTTGCCACTGCATATTTCCTGTCTGATGAGGAGCCAGTCAGTTAAAATAGATTTTTCATGAGCAATCACTCGTTTTCATGTTCCTTATTTTGTGGTATCGTCTTGAGAACCTCAGTCTGATTTGCAGAAATGCAGAGCTTTTGCAAACAGGTGAAATCAATGTCTCACCTGTATTTTAAGCAGTCTCTGAAAAAAATCATACTGTGTATCTCTGAGCAGTCAAAGTTATTGGAGATATATTTGGCATTAATCTTTTCATACCTCAATTTCCCATTGTGTTAAATAGAGGTAGTAGAAATACACCATCTGCAAAACGGGCTGCTATGAAGTAAGTTCATTCTTGTTTGTGAAGAATTCAGATAGACACTTATGGAATCTGGTCATGTTTGGCAAGCCCATGAGCAGAATATCAATGAATTTGGAAGATAACATGAAATAAATAAGGTACAGAGGCACCCTTTGAGCTGTGAAGACCTTGCAAAGTATTGAGCAACCGGTTAGCAAGCAAGCACCACATGATGTGTGCTGAACAAGGTGGGAGTCTTAGAACAAAACGGCAAGACATAGTTTAACCCAAAATTATGTCTTGCTTTGTAAACAGAAGGGAATCAAATCAATGAGAAGGCAACCTGTTGGTGAAATACTGTTTAGGTGATATTTCAGTATAGTTTTAATCCTTTTTAAAAACTTCCAGCAGCTTCTTTTTTTTTTTTTTTCAGTTACATGTTAGTGGGTGATGGAAGCATATCGTTTGTTACTTCAGCTAAACTATTTTTCCATCATTCCCAGTGGTCAGCATCTCATATTGAGGAAAAAGGTGTAAAAAGGCTGTGAAGTTCTTGGTCTGTTGTATGATGCTTTGTGGTGGATGATCAGTAATCCCTCTGATTCTTACTGCAGACTAATTTAAAGTCTGTAGAGTAAGAGCAGTCTATTATGTTAGTGGGAGTAACTGCATGTGAAGCACTTGGTAATTCTTGAACTGTTCTCATTTGGGGCCTGCGTGGTAAAAGAAAAAAAATAGGGGTAGAGTCTATTTTCTGGATTCTTGTCATTCTCAGGATGCTTGTTGAAAGGTTACCACTGCATAGTATAGACAGTTGTGTCAATGTTTATACACATGTCTTTATACAGGTTCATTTTCAACTGCTGGGCTGTTCATCTGCTGACTGTATCTGATCTTAGCTGCAGTTTCTTAACAGTCATCTGTGGGACTTGATAGCCACAGCAACCGAGTGTCATTAGCAACATTATCTAATTCTGCCTCCTTCTCCAGGGTATTTCAACACACACTCCCAAATAGATCCTTGCAACATTGTATTGCTTAACTATTTTTCTTGGTTTTGATGAGGAAAAAGAAGAGATTTTTCTGCTAGGTTAGTTCAATCCAAGCAGCAAGCTCTGGGGAATCATACTGTGGTAGTATGGGGAGCTTGGCTGCCCTGACTGCAGTGTTGACAGAACGGAACAAGGATCTGTGCATCACTTACTGCAGTGCAAAGCCCTGCAATTTACTTAAAGTGCTGATGGAGGTAGGTGTACTCCTACAATGGACAAATCAGCCCTGCAAGTCTTGCTATGGTCACTTAAAGCATCATCACCCCCAGCATTACCCTGAGTGCTGCTCTCCCAGAGTTAGGCTGGCCTAACATCAGAAGAGACCAGGTGCCTGCTCTTCAGCTGCTCCAATTAGTGTCTGGCATTTTAGCTCAAAGCCACGTTCACTGGCAGAGCAAAGGGGAGTAGCTTTGCACTGGAGTAAAGGGCTGTGGGCACGCTGTCCCTTCTGCCAGTTCTTCTCATCGGGAGGAATACATGCAGGCGGTAACACTTTTCATCAGCACAGCATAGTTACCAGAGGATATTTCTGAAAGTGTTAAAAGACCAGTCTGTGCACTTAGATCACCTCCAGTTTGGGAACGTTTTCCCTTGTGCTGGCTTTGCTATGGTGACAGTAGCCTCTGGAAGAAGGACAGAGCAAACAAGTCATAATTTACACTGCAGCAGCAAGGTTCACTGGAGTACCTCCTGAGTGAGGGTTGTGTAAAAAACACCCTAAAATGAAGGCAGCATAATGCAGAACGTTGCAGCTAGGATCTCTGAGGTCTTAGGGCAAGGGCTTAAGGCACACTAACATGTTTTTCCTGTGATTTTTTTGGTTGTGATAAACTTATCTGAATGAATTGATTCTTCTTGCCAGGGAGGAGCTTTTCTCTGAAGACCATAGAAAATGTGCACGCTCTTCTGGAGATGGTCTTCTTAAGTGTGCAGTTACAAAAACGCCCTCCTTTCTCTAATGATTTTAGGAGAAGAATGCACTTTCCAGATTCTTTTATTTTCCTTCATTGCTGCTGCTTCTTCACCCTCTGCCCAACTGTGACCTTCTTTCTGGATGGGAAGTACTACAGGATTTTTCCTGCAGACTTTATCTGCCTCATTTTTAAGCATTTGCTGAAGTAGTTTATGCAATGCTTGGCAAGAGATCACTCCCTGACCGTGTGACTTGGTGGATTTGTGACACCTGTCTCTTGCTATTTCATCATCTGTTGCAAACTTTTTTGTGAGAGAAGAATCATTGGTGGGAAGTATGGACTGCATTAATGAGTTCTGTTTTGCAGCTAATCCATGTCTAATGATTGCCGTGTGTATATATTTTAGTTTCACTTGTCCTGTCTTAATGTGTGTTGCTCTTTGCAACAGACCCACCTTCTGCTTTTTATGTGCGTACCAAGAAACAGATCCATCTGGTCTAGCAGCTAGCTGCTTCTGAGAGGCAGAGACACTGTCTTTCCCCTGCCCTGGCTGTACTGCACATTCCCACTGCTTTCCTCTTGCGTCCCTCAGCCTTTGATTGTCAGGTAACATGTAACAAACCAACCAATTCATTTCATGTTACTTGGATCTAAAATTAGTCTCTGATATTATCTCATTCTAAGAATTTTTCTGTGAAGAAATGAGTAATTGGAGACAATTTCGTACGTGTTTTGGCCTCCTAACATAGACAATACAGATCCAGTAACTGGTTTTGTTCATCACAGAATGGCAGAGGCTGGAGGGCCTGTTTGGAGATCATCTAGTCCACACCCTGGCTCAGAGGAGGGTCAGCTTCAGCAGTTGGGTTTTGAATATATCCAAGGATGAAGACTCCACAACCTCTCTGGGCAACCCATGCCAGTGTTTGACCACCCTCACAGTAAAAAAAGTTTTTTCTAATGTCTTAAAAATAAGTGTTTTCTTGTGTTTAAGGCATATTTTTTATGTTTAAACTTATCTCAAACTTACAGATCTGTCTGCTTGTAAATCTGAAATGATTGTATGTTTTCTCTGTGCTTAGATTTTTTTTCCTAAACATCCCAAGATAAAATGAACTACAAATGTCACAACACATACAAGGACACCCACCGGATACATGGGTTTGCTGCCATGCGCATTTTACCGAGAGCTCTATCGAGAGAAGAACAAAACCCCTGCAAAGATCTAAGCAGGTGCTTCATTTTAGATACTGAAAGCGATTCTTTGAACTTTTTCTGTCCAAATAAAGACCAAGGGAGTGCAATATTTTGTTTATAAATATGGACAGTTAGTTTCCTGTAAGAAATGAGCACCTGTGTCTGGCCTTAGCTTATTGAAATCCAGAGTCCTGTTAGAGCATTACTCATTGGAAGACAATTCTGATAGCAAGATTAAAGTTCATGATCTGCAGGTTAGACTACTGTAATTTGGTCCGAGTTTTCCTTTAAAATGGTCTGGGTGCTATAGCGTTAACAAATGATACCTGTCTGTTTTGTTGAGGGAAGGTGATGCAACTGATAGTGCTCACCTTCATCCAGTGCTATTGTCTGGCAACCCAGTAACTACACTTAAAAATTCTTATTGCCATGTTTACGTCTATCTTTGCTTATTGGCTGTGGCTAATTATTCCTCATCCTAGATCCAGAGGCTGCCTATGAATCAGTCAACACAGTACAGAAATCCCATTTATGTAAGGCTTTCCAAATCCTTTTGTTACTATATTCGCAGTAGAAATAATTTGTTTGTTTAATTACTATGACTTCTGTCTTCGATCATATTTTGGACTCTTTTTTTTTTTTTTTTTTTTTTTTTTTTTTTAATTGGTTTGCAGGATGCTTTGCTGTGAGAATAGCTGATTTCTTGGCTAAAAGTAGTTTTAGTTTTTATGTAGCTAGCTTAATAGCCATGGTTTCTACAGTCTGTATTTTGATAGCACTGTGGCAGTGCAGGTTATACCTCTGCCAGTTAACAAATCCTATACTGTTCTGTGACTGAAAACAGCCTGGGACATGCCCAACCTGTTGTACTGCATTCATTCAGGTGACCTGCACCAAAAGTTATTTGACACATTGGTAAAGAAGAAACACTGAAAGTAACTGGATCCAGTTTTTGTGATATCTCTGCCTGCCCAGCCCCATGAACAAAATATTTTTCTACAAAAAAGTATTGCCAGGTAGGATAAGAATTGTATGGTATGAATGCGTGAGTCAAATTTCTTTAAGAGGAGAAAGCGGTTAATGCCTCCCAATAGACAGTACAGAGAGACATCATGGATGAGATAAGGTTTCTGCTCTGTATGAAATTCTTGGGGAGAGAGAGCTCAGCCATCAACACAAGAAAAAGGACCTGTGTGACAAAGAAGGTAGGGTAGCTGTATGCAGCTGAAGTATTAACAAACTTGAGAGTGTTGTGGAATAGGAGATAAGAATGGGGTGGGATTAGACATCTCAGACCATCATTAAAATGCTCTAAAACCAAAAGTTGTGGTTAGAGATTCTTTTATTATGCCTGTTGCTGTTGCTTTTCTTGGTAAGTTGTCTCAGAGGGGTTAAAGTAGAGTTTCAGAGCGCTCGTGTTCTACGTTGGGCTCTACAGAGAATGTGTCAGGAGATCTTCATGGTGCTACCCACAGTCCCCCCCAGGAGCCTCTGTGGGTTCTTCAGAGCCAGAGTTAGTGACAATGCCTTGTGTTCACCTGAAGGTCCTTAACAGAATTGTCTCCATAGCCAGGAATGGGCCTAGATTGTAATGCTAATGTAATATACCTCAGAATGTTGTTTTGTTTTTCTAAACAAAAATTATTATACCAAGGTAATCTTAGCTGTCCAACTGGGAAGCGTACACTTTGCATTGTTCATTGTTTCCTTTTGTGTACTGTTTGTCATTAACAGTCTTGGCATGACTGCTTCCCAGGTAGTAAATATATTCTGGCCTAATTAAAGCAGTTCCACTTCCCTCCCAAGCAAAACCTCAGAGATGGTATCTCTGGAGGGAGATGTTGGAACTGACCGAGAAGTCGCCAACTGCTATTTTTCTGTTAACCAGTATGTCAGGTACCATCTTTCTGAATCACCATCCCTGACCACCTCTGTATTAACATTTACAGTGTCCTGTGCGGGTCCATAGGTCATTACTTTGGCAATTGTAAAAACTGAATTATAAAAAATGACTGTACTTTTTCATTTTTTTTAGCTCATTATATATGTTCAGCTAAAAAAAAAAGGAGTCGGAGAAAGCGATTTGAAGACTTCTGTTTCATCTGTGTGAAAATCCGTGCAAAACAATATGACTTAGTTAATTCTTAACAAGGTAGCTGACTTCATTGAGCAAGGTATCCATATGGGATGCGCTTCTGAGGATATACCCAATTAGCTCTGCTGCTGCAACCAATGTTTATGGACATAAATTCATGGATCCCGAGCCTGTTGCTGCCACTGTGTAAGGAGATTGTTTATCACTGAAGTTTTGGACAGTCACAGAAGCCTGGTTGTATAATTAAAGTTGTAGCATCTGCACAATAGTTATATACTTAAAATTACTGTGCCTCAGTATTACCTCCCTTTACTGATCTTCAGACGAGCGCAAAATGAAATTCAAAATACAAGCAGTTCAGGCAAAAATTCCAGTGAGGCCCATAAAGAGTACAGGATACTGCAGGGTTTCTAGTGCAAGGGCAGGACTACACTATTTTTCCGATCTCAGAAATGTTGTAAGAGGTATCTTAATATTATGCAATGGGAAGGGACTTACTTATATCTATGTGGAGAAAATGAAATGATGCATAAGTAGTTAGCCTCTGCAGAAGAAGAGACACAGGTTGTAAACCCTTTGGAAAGCCCTTCTCCCATGCCACCAAGTCATTGAAATCATTGAAATTGAGTATTCTTTGGGGAATATTAGAGCTGCAAAAACTAGCCTGGCCATAACTTTATGTAAGGGATAAATTAAATACAACTATTAACTCTTGACTCTTTGGAAAGTAAAGGCCGAGTTTGCATTGGCAAGGTTGAACTGGATGATTTCTTTTGGAAAAACACTTGGATCCTTTTTTTCACATTTTACAAAAAATGTGTAATGTTTCAGGTGGCTGCTGCATTCTGTATTTGAGCCTTTATTTGAAAAAAAGATTCAGGGATAACAAATTCTAGTATAAATATTTGGGGAATACCATGTTTATGTCCAGGACAAATATTATTAAATGGATTCAAAAGAGAATGGTCCGAAGATGAACTTTACCAGTAACAGAAAAACTTTCTAAAAGGAGTGCTTCTCATCAAGCGTGACCATGCTGCCTAAACAGATGCTGCTCAGTCAGATGATTGACCTTAAATGCAGCCATAACAGAAACTTGTCTTCCTTAGTTACTCAGATGGACTGTAGATTTAATTTGATGACTTCTTTTACTTAGATAAACTCTTTTAGGAGTGAAATAGTATTCCATGCTGGTTCCTTCTTACGGGTTTTGCGAAGTGGCAGTGTCCATTTTGTAAATGGCTATTGCAAATCGGAATGAGCCCAGAAAAGAGCCTGTACCCAGTCTGTACCCAGCCTCCCAGTCAGGGCTGGCTATGACAGCGCTGCCTTGCTGTGGAGGAAGGATTTTTTTGGGGGTGATGGCTGTGCAGGGGCAGCAAAATGGCACTGCTGCCAGAGCCTGGGGCGGAGCAGCTGGGACCCCTTCCTGAGGCTGTGGGGCCTGCAGTGGCCCCACTGGGCTACAGGGGCCGGGATGTACCTGTGCAAGCCACTGATCCTGGACTGGGTCCTTTAAAGTGGCATCGCAGTACTTTCCATCTCCTCTTCTTGTGCCCTAGGAATTGCAGCAGGGAGTTAAGTTCCCTGAGCATGGCGTGGGGGGAGAGAGAAAAAAGAGCAGTGGTTGGGGGAAAACAAGTTCCTTGTGGCAAAGCGGTGTTGGCTATGCAGGGGGAAGGAGCCCCTGGAATACCAGCTGCGATTTGAGAGCCTCATGGAAGTCTCCTGCTGCAGCAGAGCCCAGCCTGCCTGGGTGGCAGCGGGTGGGTGAGCAAGTGACGCTCAGCCCCTGGCAAGGGCAGGGCCCACCACTGCCCTCCTGGTGTAAACGGAGATTGGTGCGGGCTAACCAAGGGTGGGAAAGGTTGGGCTCTGAGTGGGCAAACAAATCCATGTCCCACACCGCTTCTGAGAGGGGATGCTCTTCCCCATTCCTTTCTTTGCCTTTCAAAGGATTGATGTGTCCTTTCTGATACCTTGTGCTAAGCCCCAGATTTAGTCTATAAGTGTGGAGACAGCTTTTGAAAGGACTGAAGTGGCTTACCGTCAGGAATGCTGCTTTCTCCATGGGTAGAACCAATTCCTGTGTAAGAAGTGGGGCAGAGCTGAGCAGGGGTGGGCAGGCTGGGTGATGGGACTGTGTGCTTTAGGAGTTACAGCTCTGCATGGTTCGATTACTGAATCATGCCCCTGGTCCCCTCTTAGGTGGCAGAAGTGTATTTCTATCAGGGCTTTGCATCAGGAAACAAACCCCATGGTTTAGCTACCATGTCTGGGGAGAGCTTTCCAGGCAGGCTAGTGGGAGAGGGATGATTAAAAACCCTAGCATGCTTTGTATCAGTTCCTTATTTTTTGTATGATCCTGCTCTCGCCAAAGTCAGTGGGACAATTCACCCATTTAAATGGTGCTTTTGTTTGCATGGCTTGTGTTCATTTCTGTCATAGGGATGTTTATCTGCCCTTTTTTTTTTGCCCAGAGGTCCCCCAGCCGCTGGCTGGTGGACATCTTCAGGTGCAGGAAGCAGACAGCATGGGAGTTTAAAGGAGCTTCTGACAGTCTAGCAGTTTCATGGTCAGTCTGGACAGCCCCAGAAAGCTGGAGCGGGGAGGACAGGCGGGGTCTAGTCGTGAGCAGAAAGCACTGTCAAGCTTCCAGCCTTATGGAGCAGTTTATGGTTTTTAGTTACTTCACAGGAGGAAGGAGCAGAGTGTGGGAAGGTGATACTGGCAACATCGCCTATGATTCAGGGTTGCATGGCCGCACATCAGGGGGTCTGAAGGCTGCCTGCGTAAGCAGACCATTGGCACAAAGTCTGGGAATCGTGCAGAGCTTCAGGCATGTCCCGCCTTATACAGAGCCAGAGAGCAGCCCGAGGGCTATAACAAACCAGTCAGACTCAACTAGAAGTGGAGCTATTTATGGGAGGTTGTCTATTTTCTCTTGTGACTTGTTGGATGTTGTCTCTTGTTCACCCAGGCTCTGAGCCCTATCAGTTTGCACTTAAATATAGCTTTCCCAGGTTTTCAAATCTGCTGTTTTCCCAGAGGAATGTCTGTTCCTGGCACGTAGCCCTCCTCCTCTTTTATCATACTGAAAAATCATCTCACTCACTGAGTGTTGGTAGCCCCTGGTAGATGACCAGCAGCTTAAAGATTGCCGACTACCTGACCCCTCCCCACTGCCTGGAGATGGAAGGCGTTGCGGTTCATTTCATCCTACCCTTTCTGATGCTCTGTGCTTCCAGTTTCTTCATCACAGCCCTCGCCCTGATCCTGGCATATCTTGCCAAGTAGAGAGCGGCGGAGGAGGTTTGCCTTCCTTGCAGTCTGGGGCAGGTGGTGCTGGGAATCGCAGAAGCGAGGGCGTGCAGAAAGGCTGGCGGCGCGGCAGGTGACGCCTACGCCTATCCTGCTCCCGTGGGCCGAATCGTCACGGGCAGTGCCAAAGCGCGTGTGCCAAAGCTGTCGAGATCAAGCACTGTTTTTGCATATACTCTCCAGCTTAACCAAATACTGTAGTCACAGGGAGATTTTCTCAAGAGAATCTGAGGGATTAGACTAAATAATATCCCTAAGCAACATTTTGAGTACAGATGCACAGCACTGTTTAACTTCATAATTAGTAACTGATACAGGTACTATAAAATACAACTTTCTTGCGTGCATTTTATTTTAATAGGAACTTAATTTGCCATCTTTGAAAAAACTTGATTCTGTATAATTCTGCTCTCAAAGCAGGCCTCATGCTCACATATGTTTTTGAATCATTCAGAACTGCGATACACTTATATGTTTGTTACTGGAAGTGTGCATGGCTAATGACTGATGGCTAATTTAGCTGTTGTCTCTTAAGTTCTGTTATTGTCACTTCAGGTCAGAGAGATCAAAGGTCTGGTATTTTAAGGGATTTGGCACTTCGAGATAAAAACATTTTGCATTCCATGCGTGTCCAATCTCTAAAGATAAGTAGGGAGAAATACGGTAAATCCCTGATATCTCTGTGGGAAGGATAGTCAGAATGTAATTTGTACAATTACCTTGCATGGTAGTTGTTTGCATTCATCAGCATACTTTTATTTTTGTTTTGTACTTGTTATAAAGCCTTTTACACTTATTTTTTGCACTGATTATATGAACATTTGATGCATGCTGCTGAGAAGATTTTGTCATTGAAACAACTGCTTCCTGAGCCCTTCAGTTCTTCATGCAGAGTCCTATCAATGAGTATAGCTTTGGGGGCTTTAAACTGGAGTTATTTTGACATACGGTAACTCTACTTGATAGTTTCCCCTGGGAATCCTACCCACTGTGTTAGCTGCAAGCAGCTATATGAAGAATGCTGTTCTCATGGCTTAAACACTTGTAACGCTGTCCCACCCAAACTAACCTCAGCGTGAGGGTGACTTCTAATCCCCGAGCGAGATAAGCCATGGAACTGTGTGTTACCGTCCCTTTGATTTAAAGGTATTTCTTCCAACCAAGTTAGTATTTAACTTTCTTTATTTCACCCTTAACAAAAATATGATCATGTAATTATAAAAAAAGACAGGTGTTCAGTCTTGTACAAAAGAAACGTGTTGCTGATTTGCTCTGAATGGGTGGTATAGAATTCTGTTAGTGCAATCAAATAAAATATGGAGTGTGAAAGGATACATTTTCCTAAGCGAAGGAGAAAATTGGCTTACATTAGGTGAAACAGTAATGGCAGTTTCACTAAAATGAAATCTTCTTAGTGCTGCAGTTCTTCCTTGCTGCACTGTAATTTTAAACTAGAAACCATCCAAGCAATTCATCCTAGCATGATAGCAGGACTGGTTTTAAAAAGTATCAATTTCATCACGCATGTGCATGGATCGCAAAATTCTGGAAGTCTCCCAAGTTATCCCATCACTATAATGCAGGATTTTTTTATTTGATGAGAGTCTTTGCATCATTTCTTCTGTAATGCTTTTCCCCCTCATTTCCATAATGCTGCTGCTAGTGTTTTGTACCAGATGCTGTTCTGTCAGGATTTTTTTGTGCCGGAAAACTTGTCTACCTTTTCTTAGTGTATCGGCAGGTCCAGTAAAATCTATCTCATGTCTCCAAATCTTGCTCCTTTTCTATCGTTAGGCCATCCCACTGACATTACTATTACAAATACCTTTATATGCTCCATGCCCCAAATACTACATTATTGGGTTTGCTTAAATATGGTGCTGTCCTTATGTGTGATGGGTGTGGTTAATGGAGGTGAGTGACATGGATTCAGTGCTATCTTATTCATTTGATATCTCCACCCCTTGGGGAGTCTGGCTGCATTTATATTCCTATGGAAAATCTGTAAAAGCAGGGTCAGATAATACTACTGCGGGTAGCTGGCCCCATTGCCTACACATGGATAAGCAGAGAGAAAGAGAAGGCCTGCTCCAGTTGAAAGAAATAATAGGTATCTGCCTTCTCTATAGAATTAGAGAGAAAACAGTGCATGATAGATAAGAAAAATACGAACTTGTTATCAGCTGATAATATTGCTGTTTCTTTCCCTGGGCATACAGCAGCAACCAGATGGATGCAGACAGCGGAACTTTGCTCTGTCCTGGGCAACCCAAGTGTTTGACAGCTCTAGGCTGGTGTTTGAAGCTTTGGGTGGGATTCTGCTGCCTAAATGTAGCTCTGGGGTGCCACCTGAGATGCCTCAGGTGCCTGTAGGTGTCTCTTCAGCCCCATATGTCACCTATTCTCGGGTGATTAAATAGGACTGGATACCAATGTGTACGTTACTAAATCCTTTTCCCGGGCCTGAAAACAACATGCCAAGA